GGACAAGTCAACACAGTGGCTAGTCATGGTACTGGCGAACTCTTATGGTCAGATCCCCCTAAAGCTGGAATAGGCGACACCTTGCCTACATTATTAATAAGAATGTTAGTCTCGAGGGCCGCTCACAGAGAATCTCAATTATTAATAAGCATGAAGATGAGCTGGGTAGTTTTCTGCATCGTGGGAGTTCAAGAAAGGCCAAGTTGGCCATGTTCCAGCCAACATAACACTCCATAGTGCCATCACATGTCTCCTCTCGGCCTGACATATTAACAACTCCCGCGATCGCGCTCACTGTCTTCTCCCTCCCAGGCTGCCAAACATCGAGGCTTTCAGCGAGAATGTGCAGATTTGCCAATCGAACCCTTCGACAGAGCCACTATGATTGTCGTGTCCGTGGGGCCAAATCGGCCGAGCTAATAATTTGCTGGGGCTGGCGTTGGCGTGAAGTTGATGCGAAGCTGAGGCTGGTGCCTCTTGGCTCGTACGACCAGACAATCACAGTTGGAAGCATAACATTTCATGCATTGTTCGCTATTTTGATTGTCCGACATAACGTATCATATCGCTCCTCTCCCACGACTCTTTTCTCATGTGCATGCTTTGCAGCCATGGTTCCAACTGCCTTCTGTAGTCGCATACTTAAAATGAATGGACACATTTAAAATTTAGCAATAACCTTTCGGGATGCCTCTTGCCTCTTTTAAGCGGCATATATATATATATATAATTGATATTTCAGAAGTTTTAAAAACACATGATAAGAACTTTAAGAATGTGGTTACAAGAATAAGGGCAAAGAAGAATAAGGAGGAATTATCAAGAGATTCTACAAATGTTCGGTAGAAAACTAGTCAAGAGTATTCTTGACAGGTTGTAGCCTATTGCTATGAATGGCAATACCCACTGGTGATGCCAACTAAGATGGAACTACACATGTCGGCAACAACAGAAGAATTAGTGTTGACTATGCTTTTTCATGTCTTTCTGAAAACGCAGACGAGTTGAGAAAATGAGGTCAAACCAGCTCTATGCAGTGAAAAGTCTTTGACGGTATTGAGAAAATACTGTTAGCATTTCTAAACTTTGTCAATCCATCTACAGAGATGACTAGAAAACTAGGTCAATTCTCTAAATTATAATCAGGTGGAGGTGTTGTGTAGGAATGGGGAAGTTTAAAATATTATCAGGATTCTCAGAGAACATGACGAGAAAATTTTTAGGGAATGCAAAGAGTATTAGGTATTGGGATTTGCTTGATAATTATGATACCGTCTCGAGGTACACAAATATTTCAGTAGACTGGTGATACAAGTTTTAGAAGTTCAGAATAGATCGGCACTGAGAGTTGATAGAAGGAAAAAAACTAAGTAGAGTCAGGCATGAGGTCAAAAAAAATAGCACTAAAAAACACATTCTGCCTTCGTGAGATTGAGCTATGCGATAGATTTTGACTCTGATTTTAGCCCGAAAATGCAA